ATCAGATTTGAAAACTTGGATTTTCAAAAAATAGATGCAATCTAAAAAAGATACTCAACCCAAAAACCCTTACGAATTTTCCAATCCAAGACCACAAATTTTTTTTTTTCGAATTTCAAAAATTGGTTAATAAAAAACTTAAACAAATGACATTAATTAAAAACAAAACATCTTACCAAACAGCCTCCAAACAACACCCCTGTATTTCTAACCCCTAGAGGACACCACAACCCAATTCAAATCTAGATTAGACACTGATCCAATTTTTCTCTATTTCCTCATCGATATAACCACATTCAATCATCCACGACGCTATAAACACAATTCCCAAGAATATATAATATCCCAAAATTATCAAATTCAAACGCACGCAAAAATCATAGGAGGCCTACGATGAACACAAAAACACATTAAATAGTGAACTTCTTAGTAGCTTACAAAGCACTTAGCAACAAGATATTGAAACCGAGGGTGAGAATCTTGTAGGTGGAGATGATATGCACGACAGAAATGGCGTCCAAGAAAGACAACCTACGCCTGAATGTAAATGTTTGGCTGGGTCCTCAAAGGACACGACAACTTTGTCAGCAAACAAGATGGCCGACAAGTACAAATGCTTACTCACGTAGTCCTGACTACGCATCAGAGATTCTCGATTTCTTCCTCCCTAATTTTCATGGATTGTCCTAAAGCAATTCGTGAAGTAGGAGAGAATCTAAAAACGAGTTCTTCTGCTAGAGTTTTTGCAGTCGAGAGACAAAATGGGCGTGAGGTTATGGTTGTGTATGTCGTTTTTTGATGTGCCAATACATACTGTTTACTTAGGTTTAAATATTGTTTTATTACTCGTATATTTTTAGTACAATAACGACCCGATTTTTTTGTAACTTAAACTTTACTACATGTGATAAACAACCCTTGATACGCGACAATCCAAGTGTATTGGACTACTCGAGCCACAAGCCACTTGAACCCAATCATATAGATGGTTTCAACCCGAAAGATTAAGGGTTAGATAGATAACTTTTGCAGTCGTTATCTTGAGCAGATAGAATACTCACTGTGCTCGAGGTCGGAAACGCTCCACGAGTTTGATGACCAATCAAACAAGCATACTTCGAGGGGTAAAATATTAAAACCTAAGTTCTACCACGCAAAGGGTTTTGATAGGGGGGGGGAGGGTTTGCACAAGGCAATAAAAGAAACACTTAATTCAAATTTTATTCATCTAAACCTATGTTGCAAAGAAAGGGAACACGCCTATATATAGGCCAAGGCCCATGGCCTTTACAAGGAAATTGTAAATAAAAAAATAAACTTAAAAATAAAATAAAACAAATAATAAAAAGATATTTCTCTTATATTGCCAACTTGCTAATCAAGTAAGGCAATCCTTTCCCTAAACTTATTTTAATAAAAATCAAATAAACTAAGGGAAAATCAAATAAAGATCTTTTCCCTAAAATTCAAAATACTTGCTAAATCTAAAAAGCAAATAAATCCCACAATTGTTTTAAAACAAATTAGGAATAGAGAGATTCCTAACATGCCATGGAGTGGGCGGCAAGCAAGAAGTTGGCGCCAAGGGGGGGCTGGTGGTATCAAAGGGGGCGCGCACATCGGGGGTAGCAGCATGGTCGACACTCGTTGGGAAGGCGGTGTGAGGGCAGGGTGTTAGCACTTTGCGAGGTTAACAGGCAGAGGCACGCGGGCCCGAGTGATGGTAGCGTGCGCATGGGTAGGTCGTGTTTGGTAAGTGCAAGTGCACACTGTCACAAGTAATAATATGGATATATTCCAAGTTCATCTCCACAGGGAATAGTTTTATTTTAAAAATGAATTTGTAAACTGCTTGAATGAGCAATCAGGTTTGGGATAAAAATTTGGTGAATATGTTGGGAAACACAATTTAAAAACACAAAGATTAAAAAGCCAACCCCCTACTAAGATTTCGTTCGAAAAAGATGAATTACACCTACCAAATGTGCCCGTAATTATGCTCAATTTATGCAAACTGGTTCAACTCCTATTCCATACCGCTTTTGGTTTGTTAAGAAGCTTAGGCTAGTATTTTCATATGTCTACAAAACACTAGAGTCCTAAATAAATCAAACTTCAACTTACATTTAACGAGTAAGAGAGCCTATGTCTAGGATCTTGTTTTAGTTCTTATTTCTAAGTAACTTCCCGTTTTACCTTGATGAAATCTGTTTGACTCTAACCTTTTCAGAATTAAATTCAAACTAATGTTATTTAACAAGTGGCCAACAAGAAAATCAACTGGATACATTAGACGAATCAAGATAAGCAAAAGGAGCGTAATACGCTGTGCTCACTAATAGATGTAATTTAAAATAAGATGAACTAAACCATTCGTAGGAGGGTTGAAGAAATAATTTAGCTACTCATGGAAGTAAAAGAATTGAAATAATAAGAGAAAATAACAAAGGAATGTATTTTCATTAAAATTGGAAAGAAAGTACAAAATTGAAACAAATTGAATTCACTAAAATAAACAAAGAATAATTGTAGAAAAAATAATTGAAGAACAAAACTTAAATGCTAGAACAAAAACTTAAAAACTAAAGTCGATAATAATTTAGAAAGGAAGAACAAAAGCATGAAATGAAGTGTGTTGAAGTGATCCATGGAAGCTCAATTTATAGGTTTGGGAGGTAATTCCATGGGAAGTTGGTAACCACTAGTTGTTGTAGAGATCCTTGGAAAGAAGACCAAATCTTGGACCAATTACTTGGTCAAAAGTGGTTATTCACATTTTGAAAATTTAGACATCGAATGTGGCTGAAGCATTGTGAAGTTGGATCTTTCAAAGTAAATATGGCTGGCGCATTCCTCTAGTAAGTTGGGAAATCTGAGAGTGTGATGCGCCTGGCGCATTTTGATCATCAATCTTCAAAATTCCTAACAAAGTAAACATATTTACACCAATTAGCCTTCATTTACCTATAATTAAATGCCCAAGTTCTCAATAACAAAATGCACATTGTCCCTAAATTATATGCATGAACATACATTTTCACTAAATTACATGCATGAATATATATTTTCCATCCCAAATAACTCTCAACTAAGCATGCAAACCTATTTTTTTTAGCATTTAATCAAGGCTTATCAAGCAACAACGTGGGTAAGCATTGGGTGGATGGAGGGTGCGCGCGGCTGAGGCAATAGACGGGCGTTGGTAGATATCCGACAAGAGATGCGTACGAGGCAGGGCGCGTGCGACTTAGGGCTGTTGTGAGGTGCTCATAGGTGCTGGCGAGCAACATGAGGCGCACGCGACAGGACAAACGACAGGGGTCTACGTGGTATGGTTATTCGTGCAAGGCGGTTATGCTGGGCTTGTGGGCGCGCGGTAGAGCGAAGGTGTGCACGTGGAGGGC